GGGGGGGGGGGCAAAGTGGCAGGGAAGGTTGGACACACACACAAACGTGTGAGAGACAGAGACGGAGACAGAGACAGAGAGACCAAGAGACGCAGACAAACACAGGGACAGAGAGACAACGACGTAGACACGTAGATGGAGACAACAGGGGCAGCGAATGGTAAAGAGAAACGCCAACAGAGCCAACCGCGGAGGGAGAGAAAACTATTTTATCGCACGGCGTTGAAGCAGGAGCTGTGGCCGTGAGTAGGGGGCTATGGCGGCGTGAGGAAACAAATCAAGAACACTGACGAAAGAAAAGTAAAGCACACACTTACCTGTAAGTTATCACGGTTCGGGGCACCCTCCTCTCCTCCATCTCCTTCAGCAGCGGCAGGGCTTCGTCGGCAGACCCCGCGTGGCCGCAAGCCGCGATCGCAGCGTTGTACGCCGACGCACCCACCTTTTTTCGGGGGGGCGTTGTCGCGATACATACATCGCCCAATGGTTCGGTTGCGCTTGGGGTTGGGGTGGACTTCGGTTGCGCGGATGCACGCACGTTTTTGTTGTGGTTTCTCCATGGTGGAACATCTTGATAGTGGTGGTGGCCGCGGTGAGGACTTCGATTGCGCTGAGAACCTGTTTTGCGCGGATGCACACACCTCTTTTGGGTTCTGGGTGGTCGAAAAGCGTGGGGCGAAGACTTTGTCTGGGCGCATGTGCCATGCCCTTCAACGTGTGTGTGGCGACTTACGCACGAATTTCCTATTTTCTAAACATGTGTCTCCGCCGTGTACAGGGCTTCCCGCGGCAGACCTCGAGCCTTGCAATCCTACAGTGTAGAGGTACCGGCATTCTCTCCGACGTGTACAAGAATGAAAAGGAGAAAAAAGGAAAAACAAACTTCTATGGTAACGAAACCTTGGCCACAAGCAACACGAAAGAACGCCTCCCGGTCAGACCCGACAATCAAAGGACGACAAAAACAACAGTCTCGAAATAGCCCAGTACACAGCCGGTTTTCCTCCACTCGCTGTCTCCACCACATCCCGTTCGACTGTGGGTATATCCCGAATGCTCGAATGGGCAGTCTTTCTGTGTGTGTACTAATTTCTCCCAATAATGCTGTCATGCACGTGTCACATGCCGCAGGAGGCGGAAAGATGGTAACCCCCCCCCCCCGAGGCCGACTTCCAAGCTCGGTCGCTCCAACAACCTACGGGGTGGCCCGAAGCTTCCACGAAAAGCCCTCGACGAGACGTTTTCCAAAAATCCCGTTGTTGGTGTTGGCAACAAGTTTTGTTCGCGGAGAAATCGAGCTTTGAAAATCGCTCAAAGTCTAGGGGAGGTGCTCGCCCTCTTTCACGCATTTGCGTACCTCAATCCCCGCTAGTCGAGCTTCTCTAAGCAGGCCGAGTGCCCGGTCCAGCTGCCGGGAGTTCCCGCAGGCGTTTATGGCAGAGGCGTACGTTACAGAATTCGGCGTCACCCCTCCGTCCATCACCATCTCTTCCATCACGCCCAGGGCTTCCTTCCAGAGACCCGCCATACCCAAGGCGTTGATCACGCTGTTGAAGCTGGGATAGTGAAACGTGGCATGCGGTGTCACGCTGTTGAAGTTGGAATATTGCCGTCGGATGCGGTATCACGCTGTTGAAGCTGTAACACTGCAAGCGTGGAATGCGGTATCACGTTGTTGAGGGTGGAATTGTGAAACCGTGCGATGATGCGGCCGTGTGTATGGTTCACAGAAATTGTCCTTGGACGCTGACAACCCGGTTGGCTATTGAGTCTGGAGAAAACGAGTGTACGGGGTTCGTGTGACGAGCAAGGAACTTTACCTACAATTTCGAACATACATCGAGGATGTTGTTTTCTCTGTCGCAGAAAATGTTCATGCATAGAAGCAGCGCACGGTATACTGGCACATGCCGAACCACGACGTGCGTGTGATGGCATCAAGGCAGCTGCTCGTGGTGCATGATTGATCACGCTGTGGCTGAATTTCGCACGATAACCAATGCATATCAACAAATGGGTTGGCAGAAACAATGGCGTCTTTCCTAGGGCGCCGATCACACCGGGGGAGCTGGAACTCCAAGATATGGTGCAATGTGGAACGTTACCATGAGAACATGTTAAAACCACACAACGAGAGCGGGTTTTCTTTGCAAGTAAAGAGCCAAAATAAAGAGTGATGGCAACAAAAACAGAAGAGAACAGGCGTCCGAAGGACTCGTATTGTCGGCATTCTGCTCGTCGTGCTCTGATGATCTTTCACACGGCTCAAGCCGCAACTGCCGGAGTGTTGCGCAGTAGCACACGACTCGCACACCACTTGATGAGATCGATCGTAGCGCCGAAGGAGACGAGAGATCGACACGCGTCAAAAGGTTAGTCCTGACCAGCCCCACACGGTTGGAGCTGAAATGGAGGGTGTTCGTGACTACGGCTGTCGGAAACAATAGGTCGTCGGTTTTCGCCGACCAGGCTAGACCATGACAACCCCCCATATGTAGAGGTCAGCGATGGAAGGGCCAGGATAAGACCGTACGAATACTGGGGTATGGGAGCTGGGCGGACAAAGGCGGGACGTGATTTTGATAGGATAGAGAGGATAGGGAAAACATTCTCGAGCCACCTTCAGCAGGGTAGGAGGCAACGATTGGCCATTGGTGATCGGTCCTGGCGGAACAAATGCTCCGTCCCCTCGAGGACGCGTGGTCCAACAGCAAAGGCGTGCAAAACCGTTGTTGCCCCCCCCGGAAGAAAACAAACTCAACAAACCTGACGACGTCCGGCGCTACACCATCCGAACGCATGACCCCAAGCAATGCTTTCGCTTTCTCGTGGAGGCGTCCCTTAGCGCACGCGTCGATGCAAATGTTGAAGCAAAACGCATCCGGCCTTAACGACGCCAACTTCGCCTCTTCCCCCCATTCGGCGTCGCCCCCTCTTCCCCGCTCCCCTCTCGCAGATCGCCGCATAGTCTCTAGGAGAGAGAGGGCTTCTTCCGTCCGACCTGCTGCCCTACAGGCCCTCACTTTGAAAATACGAGACGCACAACGGCAGCGGTAGTGATGAGAAGTGGCCAGATTGTCACTACAAAAACCCAGGTTCTCACTATCAAAGGACACAACACACAGCCGCAGTCGAAAACAGGGAGCAAAGGGAAGTCGTGGAAACGGGAGATGTGGGTGACAAGGAGCACAAAAGGAGCAACATTGTTTCGTAACGCAGGGCTAAAAGCACCAAGGGGAAGGGGGACCACGGAAGAAAGAGGGGAAGAAAGAACCTTCTTCGTTCCGCCAACGAACTTCAATTCTCATGCACATTCATATGCTCAACGGAGACAAGCTCACCCGGAAACACATCCAACCCGTCACGAGACAGCCACACCGAATTGTGCAAGCAGTCATTCTTTGCTGAACAGCATATTATGCATAGCGTCAACCACGACAACACTGCCCTTAGCGCACCGGCTGAATTGCTGGGTTTATTGGAGTACGGCAGAATTACAACTCAGATCGTGTGCCGCGGTTTGCGGGGGGCGGGGGGGGCGGGAGCGGGCGCTTCGCTCGTACACGCCCTCTTGCACTTGGTGGACGCGATACAAAAATCGCACGGCTCAAAGGAGATTCATACAAACCTGCCGTACGTGAGAGTATCGCATCACGCCGTCGGGGTTCTCTTGGGGTAACCCCCCGGCCTTGGCCTAGTCGAGACCAAGGCAAGAACACATGAAAATCGCCGCGTTCTGTTCAGTTCACACGAGCGGTAACTATCACGACATGGTTTGACCTAGGGTCTCTGCTGTGGGCACACTAGAGCCTGGAGGTTTCCCCCCCACGAGTTCGGAAATACTTCAGATATTGTGTGAGGCACAGCTCGGGGCTGGCGCATAAACCCAACCCTTGTTGCCTATTTTTCGGCTTGGCACAGAGTCCTACATGACGACGGTTCTGAACGAAGACAGCTAGAAATCAAATCAGGGTTCGGGCAGAAACGTGATGTAGAAGTCTGCCCAAAGCATGCGAAGGGGAGGAAGGATTGGGTTTGTGCGCCAGCTTGAAGCTGTGCTTCACACACTCGTCTGAATTTCTTTTTCCATTCCCGGGAGACGCGCGCCCACCCGAACGCGAAACACTGGTGGCGAGACCGTGATGGCTCTGCCGTTTTACTCCCTTGGTTGTTGCAGCCTTGGCCTCTTCGAGTGGAATGAACGTTCTTCGAAAGAGAAGACAGGAAACCCCTACCAACAAATAAACAAGTGTACCGGCCGGTTTTTCTCACTCGCAGCGCTGTACGTGTGAATATCCGGCCGCACCCCCTGCCTCGGCATGTCCCTTAGGAGCGCCAACGCTTCCTTCCATCGCCCCGACGTGGCCATAGCCTCCACAGCCGCGGTGTGGCATCGTGCGCAAGCCGGCCCCTCCGCCGACCTGTTGCCGAGCGCGTTGGGGGGTGGAAGAGTGAAACGTCGCTGGGTTTGTGGGTGCAAGGGGTTCGGGTTGTTGGAGGTAGATAGATGGGCGGACACAACGCACAGTGACACAGGCACCTGAGGATGGGCGGGAGAAGGAGAGAAGATATCAAGCCTGCGCAAATGCATAAAATGGAGAGAGGGAAAGGGAAGTTGCCTCCTCGTCATCATCATCACGGTCCGGGCCACGCCGAGGGCGACACAACACTGAAAGCATATTGGCGGCAGAACAGCAGCAGCTAATGTAGGAAGGACAATGTTCTTGGCAACAATAGCTGTAGATCGTCGGCGCGTTGACCCCAACAACAGAAAACCTGGCCAGTGAAGATCGATTGCACCGAGCAGCGTGGGGCACCGTAGCATGGAAATAACGCCATCCCCCCCTCCCCTTCCCGGGAAGCCCCCCGCGAACGGCGAGAGCTGAACGGCGCAATACTGACTGTGTCTTCCAGCCCCCTCCCAAAAACGCCATCTCAATACAGTGGCGAGGCCATATGCGGGGCATCCTTGCACGCGTGGTGACTCCACTCTTGAAAGCGCTCACCGCAAAGCGTGGAGGGCGCCCCGCCAATCCCGGCGTCTCCCCCTGGCCTTGATGTCTCTCTCCAACAATCTGCGGGCCGCTTCCTCCTCCTCGGGCGGCGGAGACCCGTTGAAGCTCACCACCTTGCCTCCGGCCTTACCACGTGCTGGTGCTGGCGCACCCGCCTTCCCGTCTGCACCCTTTCCTCCCCCGCGCCACTGCCGCCACGTGCCTCCGGCGCTGCTCTCCCTCGGACGGCGACGTCGTTTCTGCGCCCTGACACAAACAACGCAGCAGTGCAGGGTACTGCTGTGGCTTCTCATGCTTGTGCGTACCTTATAGCACAAGGGTTTAAGGTTAGGGATAGGGTTATCACAACTGGGGGGCGCTTGTTGGTCGAGAGATAACGTAGATTCATTCGGCGTCGGAAGTTTCCTTGACAGGCACGGGCGAAAATGGTTCGCATGCTACACAGACACACACACCAGCGGACCAACCGCCGATGCCAAGCCATCCCATATTCCACTGCTGCTGCGCTCGTCGTCAAGAGGCCCAATCTCCTAAATTGCGGGCGTACAGCAGTAGCTCCGTTGTACATGGCTGCTTTGGGCGACCCGTAGTTGGGGCGATGTTGTAGGGGCTCGTGGCCGGCTGTGAAGCGGTGATATTTGGGTTTGGATCCAGAATTGCGCGTTTTTGGACGAGGCGGCAGCCCTCAACATGAACGCCCCAGCATCACATCTGAGAGCACCAACGCACACGTCGCCATACACCATGCACACGTCCTATGCATACTGGTATCGCGACAGGAAGGGTTGCTTCTGAAAGACGTGAGCCCCGGCCTTTTTCGATGTTCGACCCAAATCAATTGGAATATAGATTGACAATATCAGTGTTGTCATGTCCATCTCTCGTCTATGCAGCAGGTAAAAACTCAGGCGAAGCACAGCGTAGAACATTGACGTAGCACGGGTATATACAGGCAGCCGAGATCAGCGGTAACCACTCGCTCCCGCACAACAAGGTACCGTTGATGCGTAGAGACACCTACAAGTACGCTTTCCTTGGTCCATACCTTGCAAAATCAACAGAGGCGGCGACGTGACCATCCGAGTCTAACAGACGAGAACCCTGCAGAGAGCTCGATCCCTGCCAGCACCGCGTCCCCGTCGCAGCTGTGGCGCAACCGATCCTATTCGTGCTTCTTCGCAGTGGGATAGGGGCTGATGGCGATGCGAGCACGAAACCAAGGGAAGAAGCACGTTGCTGGCGATGGTGCATGTTGAGCAGCCTACAGCCGTAGTAGATGGTGATGCCGTTGAAGAAGTTCCTTCTGCGCGAAGGAGTAAACTACACACATATAGGAGGCACCTATCTGTGGTTGGCAATGAGCAGCTGCAGTAGCAGCAGCAGCAGCTCAATGAGCTGTATGGTCGGTGCAGTTGAACATTCGATTGGGACATGCAGTGCGACCGCTGCTGGCTCTAACGCGATTGTCTGCCTATGGTATTCTATTCTGCGGTGCCCCCATCACGAACATATTCGGGCAGCTTGTTCCCACAGCCCTGCAGCGAGCTAGCGGGCACAGCGGAAGCAGTAGCTGCGGTGCCAAGACGAAGCCCTCGCCTGCTTTGTGAGGCAACGGTTAGCCGGAACCCTGCACGTGAAGAGCTCTGTGCCTTCGCAGCTGCCTCTTTCCGCCGAGGGGGGGCACCTCGCGGGAAGTTTCCCCTCTTTCAAACGCAACAGGAATCGACGCACTGCTTGTTATCACAAACCACCACACGCGCTCTCGGCGCACACCAACTCTGTAATAGACAGCGAGAAAGAGAGAGAGAGATAGAGATAAGAGTGAAAGATGGAGGTCGGAGCGGCTGTTTGGGTGAAGGACAAGGAGGGTGAGGAGGCCTGGGTTGCGGGTACGGTGCTGGAGAAGAGCGCGGGGAAGCCTTGCAAGGTCGAGATCGAGGTGGACGAAGAATTCTCGGAGGAGCCACTCACGTTCACACTACGAGAGGAAGATGGTGAGTAGCAGTGAGCGGATTTACGGTTCGAGTATTGATGTACCTGCTGCTTTGCGCCGCTTGGATGGTCTGCTGCTGCTACACAACAGCAACAGCAGCAGCAGCAGTAGCAGCTGTAGCAGGAGGCCTCCCCTCCCCTCCCCCACGATTGCGAGAGAGCACCTACGCTCGCAAGGTTTTGCCCTGCTTCGACTTGCAGCACACGCGCGCTGTACCAACTCTCAGCACAGAGAGAGAGCAGTCGTGTTCTTGCGTTTGAAAAACAAAGGAGAGAATTAGTCCGTTGGACCACGTGCAATTTCCCCGGTGTTGCGGCGTGGAGACAAGAGAGGGGGCAGTGCACCTGCGGGTAGGGTTGGTTTCAGCCGTTCCCGGCGATGCCAGCGTGGTTGGCAACAAGAGAAAGGAAATCTGTGTGTGCTCGACGGGAGAGAGGCGGCCTCGCTGCGGAACAAACACTTGCATCAATGGTCACAAAGCGTAAAATTTGATGCACCTCTGCACCTCTCTCTGCTGGGTGGACTCTGGGACGGGTTTTTGATGTCGTGTGTGACACAAGGGGGTGGCAATCCCATCCCACGGCACCCCTGCACAGAGGCAGGTAGCGCACCCTCACCCGCAGCCGAGTCGCGCCTCCTGAAGCGGCGTGCCCGGAGAGGAGGTTGCTGCGCAAGAGCACTTCAAATTGTATTGCGGAATTAAGGATCGCGGAACGAGCCGGCAGCGGCGGCGGTATGGTATGCCGCACACATCTGGGTCTTGCGCATTTTCTTTGTAGGACAACCAAGTCGTCATTATATGTACCGTGCAGACCATCGATGTCTCCGGTCATGTTTGAAACAAAAGCCTTGGGCTGCCAATCGATTGAGCATAATTGCCATCGGGGAGTTGTTAGGCGAGGCATTCGAAGAGGAGCCACTGCTGCTGTAGCCGTGGAGTCTTGCTGTGGTATTTTGCCCCTTGTAGCGCTACCGCGGCACTTGCAACAGCTCTTCTTGCAGGCACCCTCTCTACCTGGGCTTTTCACCAACAGCAAGCTGCTGCTGTTGATGATGCCTTGCCCACCATCAGGGTTCGATTTCGGATAAGGGCGTTGTGGACTCCTGGGCATCGACCGCCTCACTTTGAAGTTCACATCTTACTCCTTTTTCTGAACTGCTCGTGTGCATCCCACCCTCTGAAAGAGCAGCATGTGCGGCGCTTCTATGCATGCCGTGCTTCAAAGAATAGCAGCTCTGTCATCAAATGCTTCCTACACGCACAAAACAGCGTGTTTAACATGTTCTAGGGGAGGGACATGCTTCCCCTTCCTCGTATTAGTGGTGCATTGTACGAGATCAGACCCCACAACACGTTTCGAGTGTGAATGAACGCGTCGTGGCTAGGCGTCGGAGATCAGCCTCTTCGGCGAAGAGGGACTGCTCCCGGGGATGTCCTTTTCGTCGAGCTGTCCCCAAGATGTTGCTGCGTTAGCAAAGCGCCGAGCCTGGGCAACGGAGTCCAGTTGACGTTGGATTCACGGACTGCGTTTGAAGTGACACGCGTCAGTTGGGCCAGCATTAAGGTCCTGGGCGGAGAACGGAACGTTGTCAATCTGAAGACCACCACTCTTCCCGTTTAGTCTTTCGCGGTAGCACCATTCCATGTTCCATATTCCACCCTGTCACCGGCGGGTTTCTACCACAAGGACGATGTCGTTAACGATACGGAGTATCTCGCGCGACGTACGCAGGGTATTCCCATGATTTGCCAACGCTAGGTTATCGATCTGCCGTATTGTGAAGACACAATGAAACTTAGCACCCGGGCTACCTTGAGGGGTTTAAGCATTCCTCTAAGCTCAACTGGGGCGTCGACATTCTAGATAGGTGTTATGATATGATCAGTCACCCGATGATATAATGACATGATCTGAAGATGCTTGCCATTTTGGTGTCACGCTGTGCGGTGCGGTGGTGAAGACCTAAACCCACCTCGGGATGTTGTGTATCTGCGGAGGGGGTATGCCGCTCTACTATGCTTGGGCTTCTTGATCTTAGCGGTTGTGGTCGTGTACGGCATACATGAGCCTTTGTCCTATGCATGACTCTTGGTAGCTTCCTTCGGTGTCTAGTTGGCAAGGTTAAGCTCGGTGCACCGTCGCCAACCCAGTAGCCTTGGCAGGTTTCTTTCTGTTTACCAAATACTTATGTCGGATATAGCATACAATGTACAATCGGGAAAGTTGGGTTAGGGTTACGGAACATGGTCTGCGTCCCCCCTCCCTGTTGTATATCTTCATAGAGTTGTTCATCGCGCGAAGGCGGTCCCCATAATGGTCGAGCATCGATCCAACAGCGTTGTGTCTTGTGGAAGCGTAGTGCGGACGAGCAGTGTGGGTTGACGGGAGCTCGCCCACCCAACAGCCACACGTCAAGTACAGTTCCCCCACCCTCTCGCGCCCACCCTCGTACAGTTCTCGTCCTTTTCCCAGTGTGTGTCTTCTGCTTGACACAACACAAGCGCTGACACGCCTTATACATCCCGGACACCCCCGTGCTTTGTTCCGTCCGCGTTTTATTCGGTGGTGTTGGGGATGGGAAATAAAGGCTACGAGCTGGAGGACCTTAAGCTGGCGAACGACGAGGAAATGGACCACGTGGAGGACCTCATCGCACTGCCGCACCTGCACGAGGCGGCTATCCTGCACTCCCTGTGCAGGCGTTTCGACAGGGGGGACATCTACACCTTCACGGCAAACGCCATCCTGCTCGCGGTAAACCCTTTCAAGAGGCTCCCTCTCTACAGCAAGGAGCTCTTGACGGAGTACTTCAACATGGGGTACATGCGTCAGCAGGGGATAGAGCCGCCTCAGGCCCTTGGGCCGCACGTTTTTGCGATCGCGGACTCTGCCTACCGTGACATGATGAAGGTGGGCGGTCGTCGTTCGTTGTTGTTAGTGATGAGTTTGCGTCGCTGCTGATGCTGTGACTGTTCCTGTGGTGGTGGTAATGGTGGTGGTCGTGCTGGTGCTGCTGCTGCTGCTGGTGCTGCTGCTGCTGCCATGGTTGTTGTCGTTTTTCACTGGTGTTACTCTGTTGCTGCTGCTGCTGCTGCTGCAGCTGGTGTTAATTTTTCTGGCGCTGTTATCGGCGGCTTATGTTGCTACGTACCCAACATCGAGCTACAAAAGTTGCGCATGCAAACGAAAGTTGTTGTTATTCATGCGGACGCGTGTCGTGCTCATGTTTCGCTGCAACCATCCAGGGTATTCACGCGGGGAAGTCGGCGGGCATGGGGCCGGTGAACCAGTCCATCCTCATCTCCGGAGAAAGCGGTGCCGGAAAAACAGAGAGCACCAAGTTCGTCATGAGGTACACACAGTCTGCGATTGAGGCTTGAGTCGGCACTGAAGAAGTAGAGTGATGAGGTTCCATAGGGAACCCCGGCAGAGCAGGGGTAGTTGCGGTAGAGAATGGGACAGGTGAGTGTTTTGGCGGCGGGCGGAGGGTGTGTTCGGGAGCTGCCCGTTGAATAAATAGCCCCAGCGTTGCCTGTACACGGTTGTCGCTAGATTCAGCCCCGGGGGCTGACGGATTCGGCCATGCTCTCATACGTCAGCGCCTTCTTCGCAGTATGAGAGCATGGCGCTGGCGTGCCCTTGGGTAGGTGCAGGTCAATATGGTCACCCTATCCTCATATCCCCTTGTGATAAAAGGCTTTGAAATGCAGGACGGTGGTATCCTGCAAGTCTCACTGGAGCCAAATCTCATCTAAATGACCTGATTTTCCCGACCGTTGCCGGAAGCATCTATTTTGTCTCTCGTCCTCCTACAACCCCCCTCCCCCCCCCCCCCCCCCCCCCCCCCCCCCCCCCCCCCCCCCCNACGGGGTCGAGCTGGAGAAGGGGTCGATCATGGACAGGGTGCTGCAGAGCAACCCCATCCTAGAGGCGTTCGGAAACGCCCGGACCATCCGTAATGACAATTCGAGCCGCTTCGGGAAGTTCATCGAGCTCATGTTCAACAAGCGGGGCAACCTGCTGGGCGCGGGCATCGAGACATACCTCCTCGAAAAGGTGGGCTATGAGCAGGAACAAATGGGTCGAGACTGCTGTTGATCGTAGCCCACCCGGTTGGTGTTTTTCACGGGGGGTTGGTCGCAGTCAATACCTCGTGTGCTAGGCCCTCGTCGCCTTTCCGGAGTATCTAGAGGGTTGATTAGTTTGACGAACGATCCGACGATGAGTGCTCGCCCGCTGGCTTCGTGTCAGGGTGTGCAAGGGCTTTGCCGTCCAACTGTCAGCACACTTCTTGAGCGCGTTCTTGGCCTGGGAAGCTGCTTCGAAGGCTTGAGCGGATGTTGCCTGTTTCTTCTCCCTCTCGGCGCATGTGTGGTGTCAACCATCGACCACGCTATCCGGGTAGCCGAAGGGTGTATATGTTTGCGCGTGTGGATTCCGTTTTTGTACATTAGTTTCCTCGAAAGTCAAGGGACGATTTTCACCGTTGGCCTGTCCGTTCGTCCTTTTCTTTTGGTCTCTTTTTCTTGTTGCAACAGGTGCGCATCCCTACCCAAGCCGAGAACGAGAGAAATTTCCACATCTTCTACCAGATGTGCAAGGGGGGCGACGACGAGGAGCGAGAGCGATGGGAGCTGCAAGGTAGGAAGAAGGAACGGGCAGAAGGGGGGGGTGGGGGTGTACTCACAGTCGTGCATGCCGTAGTCGTTAGACCATTGACCTCGCATCCCTACAAAGCCGGGACGGAGCACGCCGGGTTCTCACCGGACCAGGCTCTCACATCACCAAGCGCGAAGCGCCGTGAGATATTCGGCGAGTCGCATGAAGGGTGCGCTGCATCCTGCTAAGTGTGTTCAGCATCTTATGCTTACTTCCTTGCGTACGGATGACAGCTGCGTATGACTTGAGTACTTGTCTGGTGCTTTCACTTCCAGAGACAGTTAAAGCCACTGTGAAACTGCGTCGAGGGTGCTTGACCACTTAACAGAACGTGGTGCGATCATCCCCCTTGCACGGAGTGAGGCTTCTCCACCCCGCACAACATGATCCACTCGACCACCGTTATGGTCACCGCTAAAGCAGAACAGAGGAACAAAACAACAACGGTGACCTGGTTGCCGAGCTCACGAAGTGAATTGGCTTGTTATACGACGTCGTTGCCAAGGGACGAAAACCCAACCCCGATGGCAAACGCCGGGGGGCGGGGGGCGTGTACTCATGGTCGTGCATGCCGTGGTCGTTAGACATTTGACCTCGCATCCCTACAAAGCCGGGACGGAGCACGCCGGGGTCTCACCGGACCAGGCTCTCACATCACCAAGCGCAAAGCGCCGTGAGATATTTGGGGAGTCGCATGAAGGGTGCGCTGCATCCTGCTAAGTGTGTTCAGCATCTTATGCTTACTTCCTTGCGTACGGATGACAGCTGCGTATGACTTGATTTATTTTCTGGTGTTCCACTTCCTGAGACAGTTGTAAGCACTGTGTCACTGCCTCGAGGGTGCTTGACGATTTTAACACAACGTGGTGCGATTATCCCCCTTGCGCGGAGTGAGGGTTCTCC